ATATGGTTTTTTGTACCTCGGTGTTTAATTTTAAATTTTCGAGGCAATTAGGATTTGCATTTAAAATTTAATATGTTATATCTTTTTTTATAAAGAATATGTTCCATGTGGTATATATTTATAATTTTTAAGATCATTCCTAGGACTAGCAATAGGACCAGTAGTGTAAATATTGGTTACCAAGAATACATGAACGATCCCACGAAAAAGTTTTATACCCGACACAACAAAGTCTTCAGCTTTGAGTATGAAAATGTGTGACATTAATTATGGTTATCAGAAATAAAACTCAATTAGATTTTTAAGCCCAAGACTATATCTCAAGTTAACGTGGTAAAAAAAAAATGTGAAAATTCAAATGAAAGCATTCACGAAAAGCAAGTCAAATGTTCAACTAGAATAGTCTTTAACAAACAAAGTCAAATGTTCAACTTAATCATACAAAGACTTTTTATTGGCTAATTCGGTCAATTGGGTTTTTTCATCTATTTGTGAGGTAAAATGCGATGTTCGGTTATGTATGTTATTTACGGGTACAAAGGAGATTCAGTCAAGAGAGATACAATGATACGATGGATGATTATAAAGGAATTTAAATTCCTAAGTTAGTTATTGCAGCTTATGGTCTCCTTTTAAAGTCCTCATACGCTTCGTTAACTCAAAAATGATAATACATTCTATATTTGTATCATGTTATAATATTATATGTTTTTGGAAGACGACCACGTCTTTGCCTCAAATGCATGGGTAACGCGTTAATTATCAAAAATGACCAAAACAAGTCTTCTCTACTCTTATATCATTTGTGTATTAATAATAATCTCTAGCGTATGCATTAAACTATTAGTCTACTTGCAAATTCCAGAAGTTAATTAATTAATAAGTTAAATGGTTCTCTACTCTTCCTCAAAACTATCATTTATCCAACATCGTCTCTTCTCTAGTATTATGAAATATTAGCTATGTCTCTTTTCCATCATCTCGTGTCTCGTTCTCTTGCTTTATGGCTTTTTGTTTTCCTTATCTTCTTAGTATTACTCGGAAAATCTCAAAAGGAAAAAGCTTTACAAGTTAAAGTGGGAATTGTTCTTGACACTAATATGACATTAGCAGATTCAAGCTTGCGAGCTATCAACATGTCTTTGTCGGATTTCTATAATACTCATAGTGGCTTCAAGACAAGGATCGTCCTTGACGTCCGTGACTCGAAAGAAACTGTTGTTGGTGCTGCCGCTTCAGGTACTCGATCTTGCTTTGTGGTCTCTCAGCGATGATCATGTATCTAATTTGATCTTAATATATATATTTACTATCAATTTGATGCTAAATTTGTTTTTTTTCAACTTTCTATGATTTTCTATGGCCTAATGTCCGCAGACCGCCATACTTTTAACACATGAACAATCCTAATGATATGGACGGACTTGTTCTTTTTATAAACATAATCAACTATGTCTAATTCTTTTTTTTATAAATCTAAAGTTACGTGACAATGATGACATGCAATCTTACGCATGTGATGATGAAGAACAACCGTAAATTCTTCCGGTTTGAATTTCTGAATTGT